GAGAGACATTATGTCGTGAAAAAGGCCTTCTCCAGATGAGCACTTGTCTTGGCTGAAATGGACGGGTCAGAACTGCCAAATCCCGTTAATTCAGATACATTCAAGAAATACTTCACTTATGATGAAAACCCAAGAGGGAGTTCTAATTCGAAAAGAAAAAAGAAAAGAAAAAAGAGAAAAAATGTTTAGGGTGAAAACCCGAAAGGGCGCCCTAAATTGAAAAAAAAGAAAAGAAAATAAGGTGCGTTCAAGATGAAAACCCGCAAAAGGCGTCTTGAAACCAAGGATGGGTCCAAATTGAAAACCCGAAAGGGCGATTTGGATATTGATTCAAAAAAGGTCCTTACTCTAGGCAGTGAAGCATCACTACATCCGAATCTTCTGCAGACTTAACGATTCGGAGAAAGGTTGCACTCTCCTGAACATTGTCGCAACTTCAAAGATCCCTTGACAAAGGTTGCGTTCAACGTCACCTAACGGCTTATCAGTCCAGAAGCGCCCGTATTATTGAGATCTAAGGCATCCATTCATATTTCATTTATGTATTTACCTTTCAGAATGTTTGTCATGTATTGTTTGTTCTTTCTTCCCTTATGAATAAAGACGACCATTTTTCTAAACCAATTCTTTTTAAGCATCTTGGGTTAAATTTAAACCTAATGATTTATTCGCTTCTAAAAAAGATAATTCCATATTACTGTACAAAGATTTTTTTTTAAAAGTACATATACTCGAAAGCTGATCAAGGCTCATGCACTATACTTGATATGGTTGAGAAGCATTTCCTAAATCAAGGATAAAAGATAAATTTTGAACATCGAATTTAAACGTTTGAGAAATTCAAGATCAGGAATCAAAAATTCAAGATTCCAGAGTCAAGAGTCATCAAGATTGATAACCGAACATTGATATTTCTCTCCATAACCTAAATAACATATGTTGCATATGCATTTTAGGCACAGCTAAGAGCATTGCATCCATAGCATCGCATATATGCATAATTTTGCAAATTCTTGTTAGAGTCAATTTCAACTTCACAGCGAAGGATATTGAACTCAAAGTGATCAATTCACAAGGTAGGATTTCAACTTCACAACGAAGGATATCCAATTCAAAGCTCAACTTCACAACGAAAGAGCCATCTACGATTTCAACTTCACGAAGAAGGATATTGTGCCAAACGGATCGACTTGATTTCATGAAAAATGAGTCATCTACAATAATAGGGGTTTATTCCCCAGCCAAGTAAACGTAAGTCAAAGGCAAGAAGAGTTATTTATCAATAAGAACTTTCGAGAGTGGTTCCGTTCAGCTCGAGAGCACATTTTCCGCAAGTAGTAGCAATAAACTACTTTCCAGTCAATTTTTCACACAAAGATCTTTAAGTCGAGAAGAAAACCAAGGTTGACCAAGCTTGGCAACAAGAAGCCACTTTCCATTTTTCCTACGATTTCAATTTCACAACGAAGGATATCGTACCCAAAAGATTGACCCAACTTCACGACGAAGGAGTCATCTGTAACACAACAACACCAAAGTCTTCAGGTCAAATTTCAACGACACGAAAAAGTATATTGAGGCCATAAAACGATACAAGAGCAACTTTCCAATGCTTGGAGCTCGGTTTCAACTTCCCGATGAAGGATATTGTGCTCAGTTCAACTCAACCTCACAACGAGGGAGTCATTCCGTGATTTAGTCCAGATTAACTATAACAAATCAATCATACCATCGAATTTCAACTCTATGACAGAGGATATTCGATAAAATAGGAATCAATTTCTGTAACATTGAATGTTAAATGATACATCCATGGTGGACGAAATTGGTGTCTTTTAATCTTTTCCTCATTCCCGTTGCACGACTATGGGCAAAGAGGGGTAACTGTAGACACCCATTTTCGGCATTGTTTATAAATGTATTTTGTCTATATAATATAAGCGTATTATATAACTATATACTTGTTTATAATATCTAACCCAATCCAAGTACAAAGCCCAAATCAACCCTCAACACCAATAAGCGATCCAACCCGATGGTAACCCGAGACCCGAGACCCGAGACCCGGATCCATTAGAAGCCCGACCTGAACTGAAATAGTTAGGGTTTGTAAACCCTAAATCTCTCCCATATCTTCTCAGCGCCGCAACAGCCACACGACTAAGGAAAGATTCATCCCAGTCGCAACCACTCGGTTAACAAGATTTCCTTCGAGTTACCCGGCGACGTGTTCTCGTGGGACTCACCAACCAACAAACAAACCGAGCATGTCAGTTGGAATCAGACTCTCTAAAAATAGGACTCTTTTTAGACTATATATATGCGTATGTACACAGAAAGAAATCCAATACAAAATTACAGTAGAAATACAAGGAAATAGAGCACAAGTTGTAAACTTTTCGAAAGCAAAGTTGGAATAAAAAAGTACTGCTTTTTTTTTACTTTTATTTGGTTGGCTTTTGGCTTACGTGGTGTCTCGTTTACCTTTTTTTTACCCGAAAAAGCCCTCGGAAAAGGGATACGTCGATGAAAGGGGAAGGGTGCTTCGATGTCTTTTTTCAAATCTAGCCCTCTCCGAGGCTTGTTTTTAAAAACTAAATATGTTTTCGAATAACGTGTTTAAAAAGATTTCGAAAAACAAAAAAAAAATTGATGAGGTGGCGACTGGTCGGAATATGGGTTCATAGGAACCCAAGCGGCCATGTTCATCAACCTGAAGAACAGGTTGAGAGAAAATAAAAGGGGAAGGGATTCATTCGGTTTGGGAAAATGGGAAATGAGAAGTGGTGTTTATTTTTTGGGTTTTATAGTGACCCACCGACCTAACCTATCGACCTGCATGTTGACCCGGTCCAACCCCAGGATCCGCATGTTTTCAATCAAAATAGGGGATTTCAGTTTTGGTCCCCGCGTTTTTTTTAAAAAAAAAAGCTTATTTGACCATTAAATTGAACTTTTACCCCGATTTTGCTTTGAAATTTACCCCCAATTTGTTTTCATTTCAATTCAATCCTTTACTACTAATATTATTATATATTTTTCCTTTTTATTTATTTAATTTAACATTAATATTTATCTATATTTTTATTCCTTTTTTTTGTTTTTATTTTATTTTATTTATTTAATAATAAACTTTATTAGATATAAATATATATTTTTTTATTTTTTTTGTATTTTTTGTTTCTATTTTTTCTATTTAATTCCATTACTTTTTTTCTTTTGTTTTTATTTTTTTTTTATTTAATTTTGTTTATTTTATTCATTTTGTTTTATTTCATTTTTCATTTCATTTTATTTTTATTCTTATCCTTATTTTATTCTTTTAATATTTTTCCTTTTTATCTTTTATTATTTTATTTTATTTATTTAGCTAATTTCTTAGGGTTTTTACATTTTTATTTTACTTCTTCTCTTTATTTTGGCAACTGTTTATATCTAATATTGCAATTAATATTTTTATATTTCTTCTCTTTTACTTTAATTCAAGGGACCTTTTATTTGATGTGTATTTTAAATAAGCAATTCTTTTTATTTTATTTTCTTTTAATTCATCAGCATGGATTTTTTATCTTAATTCGATTTTGCACTTTACTATAGCTAACACTTTTCTTGACTTTTTAAGGGTATATTTTTTAAATCCATTAAATGTAAGTAATTTAGATCATATTTTACCTTTCACTTTAACTTACAATTTTCTTGATTAAGACAACTGAAAATTAATTAGTACCGAAAGGATAGTTCAAGGGTGCTAATCCTTCCTTGACTGTAACCGACTTCAGAATCCGACATATCACTGGTAAAATGCAGATCATGTAAGATGGTGTCCGATCAACCTAAATAATATTTTTAAATGATCGGTGGCAACTCTAACACTTTTTTTAAGTCGAAGCCCAGTTCTGAGCCCACCCGAAAGACGACCGCGACATAAGTTATAAAGATTAAATTTATAATTATATTAATTTTTAATTGATATATTAACTCTTCCGTCAAATATTAACAAAAACCTACTTGATTGATATCATTTAACAATAAAATAATTTAATTAACAAAATAAAAAAGATCAATAATTAAATTAAAATTATCCCATAACTAAATGGTCATATGTGTAATTTACCCTTTAATTAAAATAAGACGCAATAATAATACTAAACGAATATTAACAAGACAAAATGATAATACACGAACACACCATTTTAAATCTGGTTTCTCGGTCCAATCGTTCACGAATATCAAGGATAATATTCTTTTCCCTGTTTTACCCTTACCTCCTAGTTAATACAAAATATAATTGTTTTATTAAATCTTAACAGTATATTTTTATTTTATTTTTATATTCAATTTTTGTCCGGTGTTGGCTTAGCTTCCCCTAGGAAGAGAGAGACTTTAACATGCTCCAACAACGTTTATTAATGAATGCTTCGATCTATGCCACCTTCAGTCTCAAAGGAATCTCATAGAAAACAAGCCCAATCCCCATGTAAACCCCTTTTATATTCCTTCACATATTATAAACCTATGTCTTCCATTTGGTTAATTCATCATTGATTCATTGGCCAAGGATATTTTCTTAATGTCTTCCTTTTGCATTGGCTTATTTCATTTCTACAAGTGTAACCATATGACCCTTTATTATATTTCAGTGTGGCTTTGATCTCTGTGTGTTGAAAACTGTTTTGTCCCCTCAATTTGTTGCAGAAATTTGGGTTCTTTTTGTTGCTAAAAGAGCTTTCATTTCTATATTTAAGATTTTTTTTTTTGGTTTTTGGTTGGGATCCATGCTGGATCTCTCGGGGTTCTGTTTTTTCCTTGGTATTGTTATCAATTCTTTGTTTTATTTAACGAAAGTTGTGTTTTGTGTTTTTTTTTTTCAATTTATTCTCAGCATTTTCCTTCTGGGGTTGCTTGTGTGGAAGGAATTTAGAATCTGCCACATTGCCCGCGGCTTAAAAGGTTCCTTTTTTTGGTATTGAGGAGAGTTTATGGGTTGAACTGGAAGAGTAATGGATAGCTTGAGAGAAGAGGAAGAAGGTTCATTTTTTTATGCTCATGAGCACATTGCAACAATGTCTGGTTTAAATTCTAATTACACAGAGATACACCACTTAGATTCTGGTTTTCATAATTGGTCTGAGAGTAGTTTCCAATATGATGTATGGATAAATAGCCCACGAAGCGTTGAGGAACGGCGTGGTAAATTCTTGGATTGGATGGGATTGAGTTTAGATCGAGTTTCTCCTGAAAATTCAGTTGATGCACCTTCTTTGGAAGGCGAATTAGATAGGGCAATGGAAACCAGTGATGCTGTTTTGAGAACATCTGACTTTGAAGAGGAGTTTTCTTCCACTCGGTCTTCCATGTCTTGTTGGTCTAATGATAATTTTGATTTGTTTGGGAAGTCGAGGCCAGGAAATAATTTTGTGTGCGGCGAAGGAAATGATGATACATCGTGTGATGTTGAGCGAGTGCAGCAGGATGAGAAGGCAAGTGAACATTGTGAAATGAGTGAAGAAGAATTGGTAGCCAACAAGAATTCTGAGAGCCCTAGTGCGGCATCGCCCTCTATTCAACAATTTAAGGAGAATGAAGTTGAGAAGGAGAATAAATTAAAGAGAATACCAAAGAGAGTTAAGAACAGGTGGTATAGTAGATTGTGTTCAATGTATTGCATGGTTGATACAAAGGTTGAAGATAATCAATCGAGACCGGATGGAGATGATTCAATTTTGGGGACTAAGGTTCAGAGAGTTAAAGTCCAGCAAAGCAGGAAGAAAAGGAAGGAACTTTCAGCACTCTACATGGGACAAGATATCCAGGCCCACGAAGGTACAATTTTGACGATGAAGTTCAGTCCTGACGGGCAATACCTAGCAAGTGCTGGTGAAGATGGTGTCGTGAGAGTATGGCAAGTGGTGGAAGATCAGAGATTCAACGACCTTGACATTCCGGAAATAGATCCTTCCTGCATATACTTCACAGTGAATTATCTTTCCGAATTGAAACCCCTCTTTGTAGATACGGAAAAAACAGGTAATTTAAGGAGCATGAGAAAAACTTCTGATTCAGCATGTGTTATCTTCCCTCCCAAAACTTTCCGGATATTGGAGAAACCATTACACGAGTTCCAGGGGCACGATGGTGATATCCTGGATCTTTCGTGGTCAAAGAAAAATGTAAGTCTACTGATTGATGTCTATGATTTTCATAATCACCCCTAAATAAGAGAAAAGGCAGAAGAAAACCTTTCGTCTAAGATTCTCCTTTAATGCGTCTCTCTTGTATGTTCATGTTGCAGTTTCTGCTGTCTTCTTCTGTTGATAGATCTGTTCGTATGTGGCAAGTTGGATCTGACCATTGCCTAAGAGTGTTTTCACATAGTAATTATGGTGCGCTCTGGCTGATTCTCTCTCTGTCTGTTTCTGTGCATTATTTAACATGTAATTATCGGATTGAATTATTAGTAAGTTTGTTGTATTTCGGGAATGATCTTGTCCTGGCTCCTTGTAAAGGATTACCTCTCTTCATATGCTGCAGTAACATGTGCTCAGTTTAACCCTGTGGATGACAATTACTTCATTAGCGGTTCAATAGATGGAAAAGTGCGCACTTGGGCAATTTCTAGCTACCAGGTTGTTGACTGGTGCGATGTAAGAGATATAGTTACTGCAGTTTGTTATCGTCCGGACGGACAGGTTGATTTTCTTGCTCCTTTATCGCCTTGAGGACTACATCTTATGGTTGGAGTTTTAAATTTGTTGTAAGGCCTTCCCTTCTAATTTATGCAGGGAGGAATTGTTGGCTCAATGAACGGCAGCTGCTGGTTTTACAATGTGGCAGGTATGCTTACGCCGAAAGGGATTCATATCTGTTCACATGTTTCTCTCAAGGAGCTGCATTTATGGTTGGGTTGATTCTTAACCAAACCGATTTTTTTGTTGCTTTGTTAGACAATCATTTGCAACTGGATGCTCATGTAGACTTAAATGTGAAAAAAAAGTCACCTCGCAGAAGAATAACTGGCTTGCAGGTAGTTATTTTTATCCCTTCTTTTGGTCACTATATGCTTGTCTCTTAATCGCTGAGATGTGCTGTTTTTCCTCATTTTATATCGTTCATTGCAGTTTTTGCCACAAGATTCAAGCAAAGTAATGGTTACTTGTGCTGATTCTCATGTCAGAATTCTTCAAGGACACGGTGTGATTTGCAAATACAAGGGTATAGCCATCTTGTTTTCTATACTTCTAATCGTATAATAATGGTTTGTTGCAACTCATCAAACCTGAATTGTACACTTCAATTTCTTACATATATTAAACTTTGAATCTGAAACACAATGTTTGTGTTCCCTAACTCGTATTCTGGTCCTAATTCTTGTTATCTTTCTCACTCTGCAGGAGCACACAACTCTCTTTCTCAATCTGCAGGAAACAATGGTAACCCGGCATTCGCATCATTAACTCCTGATGGTAAGCATATTGTTTCAGCTTCTGAGGATGCAAATGTATATATATGGAATAGTGTCGATCAGGATGAACAAGCATGTCCTCCTGCTAAAGATATAAGATCCTTTGAGCGATTCTTTGCTAATGCATCCATTACAATCCCATGGTGTGGCATGAAATGTGAGAATGCAGAAAATGGAAGGCAATTTGAAGTACTGAATGAAAATTTACCCGATAACCTTCCGTTTTTCCCGCCTTCATATTTCTCGTTGAACCGTGAATACTTTTTGGAGTATTTTCCCAAGGAATCTGCAACTTGGCCAGAAGAAACACTTGCTCCATCGAGCCCGTTGTCTGTGTCATCTCCAATGCATAAATCCCAGTACAAGTTTCTGAAATCTTCTTGCCAGAATACATTTCAATCCCATGCATGGGGTCTTGTTTTAGTGACAGCTGGTTTGGATGGAAGGATTAAATCATTCCTCAATTACGGTTTACCAGTACCCGTCTGAAAGTAATAGGTGGTTTCACAAATACTTTGTTGAGCTTGAATAGGCTGACAGGTGATCTCGAGATACGAAAGCATCAGGGCAGCATGCTTTGATAGTCACTCACAAGTCAGATGGATGATTGAGAATCTGTGGTTTACTGTCAGTGTTCTGCAACTGAATACGGTTGCAACAAGTGGCCGAGTTCTATGGTTTACGAAATGTTTCTTGGAAGGAGTGGCCAAGGTTAGTTTATCTGAATACCGTCCAAGTTAATTGTATGATTGGTAGCTTTGTTACTCGATAATTGTTTTGTCTGTGGTTCTGGGTCTGGCCTTTTTGGTAGGGTCATTCCAACGGTCATGGAGTTGGAACTTACCGGGTTATTATTTTCTCGGAAACGAATTTCTCTGCCAACTGTAGTGCTAGAATGCATACCATTTTTTATGCATTGCAGAGCACATTTCCGGGAAATTCCTTCCACGGCCTGTTGAATCCGGGTCTGTGGACTTATGGTCGTGACAGAGAGATCAATCCGAGGACGCTATTCTTACTGGGGTCAGAGTAGTCTTTGTTTTCAGTCACTGCTAATACAAATCATAGATGGTAGAGCTTTGATATTTATACCAACAGCTAAAAGAGTTAAATCCTGTTTTATAAAAACGGTTACTATTTGGGTTGGTTTTTCTCCCAAATAAATTGAGCGTATAAAATACATACATTAATTGGCCTAAAAACCACGAAGAAATTTGTTGTTAGCATTTCAGCGCATCAATTCAATGTTTTACTCTTAATATTTTCGATTGAAGTAATTATAAAGAAAAATGACGCAGTTGAAATCCTTTCTTTAGTCGCTGCGAACACAATTCATCCTTTTCTGAACTGTTTAAAATCTTAGGGTGTGTTTGTTTCCGTAAAATGTTTTTCTCATTCTCCAGTATGGTCGGTGGAAAATAGATGGTCAATATAATTCTTTTTCCTGATCAACTGACTTTCCTTTGCATTTTTTAGAAAATGATTTATTATCTGATTTTCCGTAAGTCATTTTACGAACTTTTCATTTCAAAGCAGAAACACTCAAAATATTATTATTTTATATATTTAATATTAATATATTATTTTAGTATCACTTTAATAAAAAAATATTAATTATTGAATTATATTTATTGATAATTTTAATAATATAATAGTATATTTTATTATTATAATTATATTATTATAATAATATAATATTATAAAATTTCTTTTAGTGATATATAATAAATTATAAATAAAATTAATATTTTTTATTAATTTTATAAAAAAATATTATTCAATTGTTGAATATTTAATATATACTCCTTAAAATATAATATAATATAATATTATAATTTTTAATATTTTAATAATATTATTATTTTAATAAACAATTAATATAATTAATAATATATTATTCTTTTTTAAAAAATAATAAATATAATTTATAATATTTTTATTTTAAGAATATATATTAAACATAATATTTTTATTTATGAAATCATAGATATATTATTTTAATAATAATATTGACATAAATAATGTTAAATAAATTATATTAATATTTCAAAATTTTTGTTATTATTTTATTAATAATTAATATTATTTATTATATTCAATGTTTATAATAAATACATATAGTGAAAAATGAATTACACAACATCATTTAAACACCGTAAAATAATTTTCAAAAATAATTTTTCAGAAATGTAATTCAAAAACAAATGGACCCTTATATATATATATATATATATATATACGTTAAAAATACAGTTAAAAATCTTTTAAGAAAGAGAATACTTCTTTTTATTATCGATTTTGATTACTTGTCTGTATTGGACATTAATAGTTTTTGTTAGTAAAAGTGGACAGGTTTTAAGAGATGACAAAGCAAAAACAGTGACAAAAGTCGGTGTTGGTAAAAACATTGACAAAACAAGAATCCGAGGCCAAAGACGGTTTCACACAAACTTTGAGGAAAAGACATCAACTTAAAGTAAAGAACATTGATTCCAAAGTTTAATGACGGATGGACAAAAGTTAATTGATATTAAAACATATGGAGTTTAGGACAAAACATGATTTAGTTGTTCAGGTACAAAGTTGTGTGTCTTTTGCATATCTGTTAATCTAGAGTAAATAAATTACCTGTTTGGAAATGTTTCTTTGAACGATTTTTTTCAACATAAAAAAAATTCCATTTGTCTAAGGATCTAACATTGAAATTTTCATTTGCATTGTTAACAGGAAATAATTACAATTGCAGATGAAGATGGGAATTATTTACAAGAAGCTTGGGAGCATAATTTGATTTGTGTATCCCGGTTCGAGCATTTGCATCTCTTGTGAGAGGGTGCTCCTCCAGATGCTACTTGAAGAATGCTTTTTTTATTTATTATTATGGTGAACAATGTTGTTTTTAATCGAAAGAGAAATAACCTAGACTAAATTATAGTGAATAATGTTGAATTATGTTATATTTCATTTTAATTTTATAAATTTTGATTTATTTTTCTACATAATTTGTGTCGTAATTAAATTTTATGTTTATTTATTAGATAATACTACAAGATTTAAATTTAGATAATATAAAGTAGAAAATGATATATACGAAATCACTTAACCATAGCGGCGTTTGTGCCACCAAAAGTCAGTTTCTTTTGTGGCGTTTTGTGATGAAAGCGCCACTAATAACGTAACCATTTGCGGCGTTTATAAAGAAAAACACCGCAAAAGGTCATGATCTATAGCGGCGTTTGACAAAATAAATGAAACTAAAGAGAAGGTAATTAGCACCGTTAGTAAAAAACGTCTCTATAGATCATGACCTTTTGCGATGTTTGTAATAAAAACGCCGTTATAGATCATGACCTTTCGCGGCGTTTTCTCTTCACAAACATCACTAACTGTTGCGGCGCAGGTTTTAGCGGCATTTCTTATGGCGTTTTTTTTACGTGTGCCGGGAACTTTTTAGTGGCGTTTAAAAATGCTGCTACATATATTAAAAAATATTGCTAAAAATCTGTTTTGTTGTAGTGATCACATTTTTTTTCTTTCGTTTCTTGTCCCAGTTAAATCTTTTAAACAGATGAGCTAGTTTCACGATATTATAAATGGAGGACATGATCCATTGTTTAACAAGAATAGTTTGTTAGGACACTCATTTTGCTATATCAAACTCTTAGTAACGCTCTGTTCGTTTGTGCCTTGTTAATGCCCTGTAGAACTGCATGTTTCTTTCTTACCTATATGCTTTAATTTGGTTATATAATCTGGTTTAATGAGCATCCAAATTGCAAATATCATTTTGAGAGTGGACTATGTTGGATTAAAATTCATATTTGTGGACACATAATATGTTATATACAATGTTATCGTAAAGTATGACACAAAATTAAATGGCTAATTATGTTACATGTGCCATAAGTATTAAAGTGTCATAGAATTGAAGTATAGATACCATAAGTTGTATTTATAATTTTATGAGGTATAGAATTACAAATAATTATTAGATTGGCCTAATATTCATTCTATATAAGAAAGTCCCAATAAATATGTTTACTTGTATAATTCTTATACCGTCATAGAATTTTTAGGGCAAGAGAAAACTTATCATTGGAAGATCACAACCAAATAAAGTTCCAAAGAAATATACAAAGATTTTAACCTATTTTCTGCATCTAATATTTTATACTTGATGATTTAGCATCATAGATATTGAATTCTTGATTTTATATATATTATGGCTTGGTTCTAACGGACTATGTTATATTTCTTGTAATATATATACTTTGATGTTCATCTTTTCTCTTTTCTTCCCGGACAATCTTGGAGAAGACTGCCTGTATTTGAACACTTCTTTAAATTTAAAAAGAAGTTTTCAAATACAGGGCAGTCTTCTCCAAGATTGTTGTCAAATATATGCCGGTGGAACAATAGGTAAATCCAGGGATGGATCGAGGAGTGTTGGGTTACAATCGTACCTTCTAGAATTTTTGAATTTTTATATTTTAGATTATTTATATTTTTTATTAATTATTTAATTTTGCACCCTCTAAAATTTTATAATTATGCATCTCCTAAAATTTTTAATATAACTTTTAAGTTAGCACTCAATATAAATTTTTGCGTCTGTCCTAGGTAAACCCCAATTTGATGGTTCTGGACCTGATCTGTGCATTTCAGTCTAATTGATTTTCATTGTTGGCTGATGCTGCACGAAGGTTAAACAATAAACTAAGTGATATTGGTATAAATTAGGCCTGTGGTTTACATCTATGTCAATATACAAAACACAAGCATGATACTTGGTTTTGGGAATATTGGAGCTTCTTAAGTATCATGCCCGTGTTTTGTATATTGACAAGGATGTACATCATGGACCACGGTAATGGCGTTGAAGAAGTCTTTTATTTAACCTACAGGTAGTTTTATTTGCTATTAGATTATTAACTTTGCTTACTTTAAGATACTGTTAAGGAGTGACAAAAATTAGACTTGACTCGAAAAATAATTTTTTTTAGTTTTGAGTTTTTAGAGTAAACTCGAATTATTGATTCGGTTTTCGAGTTCTAGTCAACTCGAAAAATCATTTTTTTCAATTTCGAGTTATTCAAGTTCGTGTTATTCAAGTATTCAAGTTAATTCGAATTATTGATAATTTTACGATTTAGTCCGTAATTTCATTATTCCTTCAATTCCTCCATCTTAAGTCCATTTTTTTTATCAAATTTAAAATGCATGCTCTTAAACCATCGTAGAATATATATATATATACTTTCAATTCCTCCTTCATTTTAAGTCCATTTTTTTTATCAAATTTGAAATACATGCTCCTAAATCATCGTAGAATACAAATGTACTTTCAATTCCTCTTTTTGATAGCAAGTATTTTATTTTCAATTTAGTCCCTTAAATTTTCACAATTTCCCTTTTCTTCAATTCATCATGTATTTTAAATTTTGTTTCACAGAATTTGAACCACATGCTCATACACCACTGTAGAATACATATCTAACTTCAATTCTTTATTTTTAACTAAAAATGTACTCTCTTTTTATTTAGTCCCTTAAATTTGCATTTTACTCAATTTGGTCGTTTGATTGCAATTGTTTGCAAATTCTTTCTTCCCATCAATTCCTTGACTCCTTTGTACTTTCATCGATATTTTATCCTCGAAATACTTTCTTTAAAATATAATATTGTGAATATATTTTATAATTTTAGATTGTATTTGATATATTAAATAACATTATAAAGTGAAAAGAATATGAAATATATATCTTATATGGTTAAAGAAAGTCGAAAAATTGGAACCAATCCTTACTATATTACTATAAATAATTATAACAAAATTAGTATAGAAACTCGGATAACTCGATTCAAATTTCTTAAACTCGACTTGAAAAAATTTACAGTTAAGTTTAATTTGTAAAATTCGACTTGTCAACTCAAATAACTAAAAAAATTTGACTCGACTCAACTCAATCGAATGCCCACACCTACATAGTAGACACTTATTTATCGTCTGAGACTTCGAGGGCCTTTATTACA